CCATTCCCTGCACTGTGTTCTGTACAGTGCCAGCAATCAAATAAACATAATTAGTCAATAATGGTGCTGAAGAAGTTTTTTCTTTCCAAAAATCTGACTTTCTAAACAAAAAAGTCATGGCAAGGCAAGTTTATTTCTACAGCACATTTCAGTGGCAAGGCAATTCAAATTTCTCAACAAAAAAAGCCAAAAGTATATTGCTGTGGCATAGAAGCAATTCAAATAGCTAAAGAGAATAAAAGCTACACATTAAAAGAATGAGATTAGGCTAAAAAACATGTAAGGATTGACAAAAGATTTAAAAAAAAACATAAAATCATGAAGAAAATGGAGTGAAAGTTTGACTGGAAACCTGACTAATAATGTTTAGATAGCACAGTCAAATGCCACTCTAAACAAATGCGTTTGTTTAGAGTTTGTTTAACGCCATTTTAGTGCTTTAAAGGTCTATGGACTGCATACAGTCATCCAAGTTTAAATGTTACTTTGAATAAACCTAAGTATATGATTTTTTTCTTTTCTGAGCGCCGAAGAATTAAAGCAGAAGTTGAGATTCATAATATTGTTTTAGGTATATATTCATATATATTTTATGAGATACTAACTTGCAACCAATTATCTGGGGAAAAAAAGTTTGAGAACTGTGCACATGGCATTTTTAACGTTTTTGATTTTTTATTCTAGGTTCTATTTAATAGCGGATGGGGTTCCTCTCATCATTTGTGGAATCACTGCAGCTGTCAATGTCAACAACTATGGAGACAATAGTCCCTAGTAAGTGAATAGCTATTTTATTCACTAAAATATTTGGCTTTTGACTTTGTTTGTTTTACTTGGTAGTGGGCAGTGAATTTTTCCAGTGTTAAATACACAAAGAAGTAAATGTTTTGTGTTGACTATTGTTTTTTTTTTCTGCAGCTGCTGGCTGATCTGGCGCTCAAGTCTAGGGTCTTTCTTTGTCCCTGCTGGTTTAGTGGTCTTGGTGACCTGGATTTATTTCCTGTGCACTGTGATTCGCCTCAGGCACCGTGTGTCCAAAGAATGCACAGGAACCACCCTGTCCTCTCCTGGGACAGAGGGTCTTCCTGCACTGGCAGGGAGCACCAGCCTTCTCTCCACAGACTCCGGGGGGAGGCCTATAACCCCAGCTGTGCCTCCAGAGGATCAGTACTCACTGAAGACACAGTTCTCCGTGTTGGTAGCCACCCATTCTCTGTTTGCGGCTCTTTGGTGTTGTGGAGCCATGGCAGTGTGGCTAACAGGACGCACAAGCTTGCTGTTCAGCTGTCTCTATGGGATTGTCGCCACGGTTTTAGGGGTGTTTCTGGTGGTGCACTACTGCTTCCGACGTCGTGATGTGCAGGCGTCATGGCTGGGTTGCTGCCCAGGCTATCGTCGTTCCCATCCCATGTCTACTTTTACAAACACTTGCACCACTGGAAACGGAGTGCAAACATCTGAACAAGGATCCCAGCTCTTTGTCAACTGCCATCCACCTGCTGAATCTCATAACTCTCATAACTCATCCTCAGCCAGGTCATCTTCTACGCCAAGTGGGATCAGCAGCATGGGACCTGGGCCGTGCAAGCTCACAAACTTGTTGCAGGTGGCGCAGGAGAATCAAGGCAACTCCTCACGTGTCCCTACAGGCAACAACACAAGCACAAGTACAGACAATATCACAAAGCCTACAAACAATATTCTGCCCTCCATAAACTCATCAGCGCCGGTACATCCCCAGAGGAGAAAAGTCAGTAGCAGAACTAAACAAGGGAGTTATCAGCATTATCATCGAGGTGAGGGCAGAGGCCACTACCGCCTCAAAGCTTTGAGGTCTGCTGGAGGGGGCGGCAGTCTTGGAGCTTTAGGGCCGATAGGTTCGGAGCACCTCAATTCATCGCATTCTGTTTACAAGCAGGCCACAAGTGAGAATGGCAGCATCCACCACAGTCTCTCAGAGAACCAAGCCCGCATGCTGACGAATGGAAAGCGGGTGGGAGAGTCGGCAGCCACCAGCCCCTCAGAGGGGAGTGACGGGGGCAGCAGCGGGAGCCGCAAACCCTTCCCTCTACCTCCCTCTGCTGCAAGCAGAGTGACCATGCACAGCACTCAGAGACGATGCTCCAGCAGAGACAATTTAAAAGTGGCCACTTCTGCAGAGCGAGAAACAAAGCGCTGCTCCTATCCATTGAATTGTGTCGCCACCACCATGCCAGAGGCTGTTTCCCCAAATGGGACCCTAAGAAACTCTGTGCTCGAGCTAGAGCAGGACATGAGCGGCACAGACCAATCCCAGAGTTCTGTTGGAATGAAGACTGGTTTGTGGAAAAGTGAAACCACAGTATAAATTTGGGCAGATTTCTCTGCTTATCTTTAAAGAAATGACTGGGTTGTGTGTTCATTTTCTCTAAACAATTATATAATTTAAGATATAATATCATGAAGAATTCCAGGACCCTGAACTGGTACTTCTGCCTCTGTTGCATTCTAAGTTTGATGTGTATTAATGCAGTCACTGCTATTGCCATGTTCAAGCATACACATTTATTTTAATCACTTTACAAAAGAATGTGTACAAGAAATGTTTCATCTAGGCATACAATGTTGTACTTGGATGTCTAAACAAAGCTTTAATGTTTTAGTTGTAAATTTCCTATGCAAATGAACTATAGCATAAAATGGAGTGCAAGCCTTCTCCGTCCAAAGCAATTCTATATGCATTTAATCTGAAGGCAACAACCTCTGACACTTATGTTATTGTTTGTGCTCATGTATGCACTTGTATGTTTGCAGTTTTTGTGTGTGTGGTGTGGTGTGTGTGTGTGTGTGTGCGCACACACACATCAAGAGAGCTGTGTTGGAGGGTCGCTGTACAATCTCAGAGTGAATTAAAATTGTGGGACAATTGACAATAACATATTTAATCTGCTTTCTTATGACTTGATTTCATCTAGTTCAGATTTAGTCACCTAGCAACCACAAGCCTCTGTGTTTATTATTCAGATTTTCATGTGAAAGACAAACAACAGGGTCTAGCATAATTATAAATGGAATGGAAGATAGGTGGATTTTGACATTGTGTACAAATAGAGATCTGAAAAGTTTATATTTATGCAACCCCTTTTATTGCATAATAATAAACTGCTTTAAGGAGCCACTTAATTATTAAACTGAGGTGTACTATGTTGAATTGATTTGCAGAACTGATCCAGCTGCTCTGTAAATGTTTCAAAGGTTTATTAGCGATTATCATTGATGAATGGGAATTGTAAAGATTGACCTTTCAGAGAAGCCTTAAGCAGAGTTATGTTTTTAACAATATCCTGAGCTTTCTAACATAACACACATAACCACTTTTTTGTTCATCATTTATAGATGCAAAAGTTTTGGCTCTCCTGGAAACCTACCAATCCATGGCTATTCTATTTTACGGAGCTGAAAAGTATCAGCTCCAACATGAGTGTCCCATCTCATGAAAAGATTTCTAATATTTGGGTACACAACAAATGTGTTATTTATGGAACAGTGGTGCAAAGAGTCTATTTTCAAAGAAATCCATACAAAGTCTTGTTTAGGGTTTACACAAGCAATGTTGAAGAACTGCAAGAAGATAGCCTAGAAAATGTTTTATGAGGAAAGGATTTAATGCTTATCAATATGCAATCCACTGTCACGTTATAGGTTATAGAGAAATGTTTTTGGTTTTAAATTTACCAACGCCCCTTACTTCTCACAATTTTTTTTGCAATAAAATGATGAAATGACAGCTCATATTGCACTAAAAACGTCTACAAGTAAACATTTTCCAAAAATATTAAACTTATCAAAAATAGTTTTGTTTTTATTATAGAAGTATTGAAGAACTCTTTGGTGACTTATATATATGTGTGTTTTTTTTTAGTATGTTTAGGACTAAGCAGGAACCAGTATGTCCACAACAAACTGTGAAGTTTTCCATTCTTCTTTGGATTACATATCGAAGTTTGTTAATCCTGGGTGTTTCAATATGCTCATGGTGATGAATAACTTGTGGGTAGGATGACCTCAGCATAAACCAGAGGATGTGACTGTGACTCATACCTCTGGCAAAATGTTTTAAACTACAAAACAAACCAGGCCTGCTCACATATCTATGTAAAATAAGAATATTTTTTTGTAGATTTATTATTTGCCACCTTAATTAATTATAATTTAGTTAAAAATTGCTTGGTGTCTTACAAATAATACAAATAATATTTTCAACACTTTACATGAACTGATTGACATAAATATTATGTTTTGTTTGTACTTTAACACATTTGAACCATTCTTTTGGTATTGCACATACTTCTAATCCTTGAGGGGGGACTTGGTTTGAGTGCATCCCTGATCCAACTCATCGTTTTTGTCCAGCATCTACTAACTCCATAATAATGTTGAACTGTCCTCCCTCTGCACAATTACACTTTGCATATTCACCCTGTGCCTGTGGATCCTAATTACTTTTGACATATCCAACTCCTAAAACAAAGTACATTTTTATTGGAAATCTAAAAGTGGGTTAAGTTTTAACTCTTGGCAATAGTTGTCATTTAATCTATTGACAATTTATTAACTTTGCCTTAAAGTTTATAAACTTGTTTTTGACAACCCCATGTGAGATAAACTGTTTAATTAATTTAGTAGAATTGTGTATCAAAATGTAGTCAAACTGATAGATATTCCCCTTGAAAAGAGGACATATATATATATATATATATATATATATATATATATATATATATATATATATATATATATATATACACACACACACACTACATTTCTAAAGAGAATTCATGTTATTTAAGTGAAAAATATCACTCAAATGTGTTCAGTCAGGATAATGACAGATCTGACAAATTAACGGTACAGATGCAGTTTTCCTCCGTCTAATCATATTCAGGCATTGAGTATTTGACATTTATTTCACCCAATCAAAGGCTTTTATGCAGAGCGGGGGCGGGGTCTGGTGACATAAGGGAAGTGAACTGTGAAACTTGGCGGAGCAGTGAGAAGGGAGTTGTGTTGACATGTCTCTTCACAGAAACTGATTCAGAAAGATGTCCCGTTCGAGTTACCCTCGTTAGTTCAGTGCAGACGTTGTCAAGTCAACAGTATATTTTCAGAGGTTCACAAAAAGTCTGTTAGTTTGAAATAAGGTGGACCATTGCGAGACCGAGCTTCCTGAACAGAACCAACCGCTGAGGTAACCTACAACAGCAGAGGACGCCGAAGGTGAAAATTTAAAGTTCACAATAAGGACTATTTGATAGGAACACAGTTAAGGTCAACTTTAAGTGAGACTTTGCGGACTTTTAAAGATGTCTCTGCTCGACCAGAGCCAGCAGTGGTTTCCAACGAGTGTCGTGGTAACGGTTCATCAGGCTCGGAACCTGCGTATCAAGGGGAAAAATGGCACCAATGACTCGTACGCCATCATCCAGGTGGCCAAAGACAAGTTCTCCACCTCGGTGGCGGAGAAGTGTGTCGCTCCGGTGTGGAAGGAGGAGGCTTCGTTTGACCTGCCGCTCTTCCACCCGGGAAACGCCGAGCGCTGCACCCTGTACATCATCGTCATGCACCGGGCCCAGGTGGGACTGGACAAGTTCCTGGGCCAGGCTGTGATAAACCTGCTGGAACTGCACGACAATAAGTCCCGCAAAAAGACAGAGTAAGTGGAGATATTGCTTTTAATTCAGCTCTGTTTTGTTATTGGCAAACATTTAGCTATATTTTAAAAATACAGGATCAAGAAAACAAAACAAAACTACACACAATACAGTAACTTGTTGTAGAAAGTTCCTTTTAAGAATTATTTTTTTTTTAGAATATACTTTTTACTCGAATTATTAGATTACAAAAGGAAAAATATGGCTAATCCAAATAAATCCAGCACTAAACTTTCTCACACTGATGGTAAATTGTTACAATTTTTAAGTAGAAAAGTCCCACAAACGAAAAGGTCTGACACACTTACAATTTCTTTTGTAATCTTCAATACACTTTTATTTAAATAGAAACATAAAATACATAAAAAAGTCCCATTACATTATACAATAATGCAAAAACACCCCTGACCAATTGAATCAACTTATAAATTAAAATGTAAGTAATTGCCAATAACAAGCTGTCATTTAAAAACTAACTTGATTACCAAATGCTAATAATTGTTTGATTGTTGTAGAGCAGGGCAATAACGCCATGCTTTCCCTCGTTCACATGCTGCATACATATAGCTTTTCCTCTGTTTTGAATGTACAGGTTTCCTCATTTCCCACAGGCCGCTGACCCTAAATTAACCTGAACAGGATCAGTACACGCCAGCTCCAATTCAAAAGGCCCAATCGCATGGCATATTTGAATACGATCTCCATTTCCTCGTTCATTATCTTTCCCAACAGCAATAAGTTCACGATCTTGAATATTAAAGGGGAAGCTTATATTAGAAACTTAGCAAACTTTTCTCCTTTGGATGAACTTTACATGCACAAGTGAATTTACACAAACAACTACAGGTGCTTGGCTCTAGCCTCGT